TTAAATAGAATTCGTGCCTCATATCGAATTTACCGAGTATCATAATTCCTCCAGGTGGTAAAGATACCTCGAGACAAGTGCTGGGCATAGAAGCCACAGGGCATAAATCTGCAAAGAAGTAAAAAGCTAACCTTTGCAAACAATATGGCTTCTCTCTCACTTACCAACTTTACATTTCCCTGTATGGCCCCGGAAGATGACTGGTTAGCCAGAGACGGGTAAGATTCCTCAAGGGAGGAACAACCTAAGACAGGCACAGTCGCAGGGGGGCCATCAGGTGAGAATTTGGGGATCAACAGAGGTGAGGCTCAGAACCTCACCCCCCCTGCTTTGAGAGAAATCTTCTGCATCCGTGGATGTCTTGCTGCCCTTGTCTAGCCTGGATTAATACTTAGTCCATAGGCACACACCTGATCATCTGATCATCTACATTTGCCTTCTTACAGCACTAAACTATGTTTTCTACCTTTATCTTGCATCTACCTACCACTTCAGCATTTTATTAAAAAAAAAAAAATAATAATAATAAAGGGAGAAATGTGGGATCCACATATAAATTAAGTATAAAAATCAAACGAATATTCATATTTGACCTGATTGTTTATAGTTCATAATGCGTGATCAAAACCGAAAGTTTCTGTGATGACTGCCCTTGTACTGTTCACCATGTAAGAACTTATTCAGTATGTAAGAATTTGTTCACCACGTAAGAACTTGTTCATTATGCTTCAGAAGATTGAAGACTGACGAGAATTAGGCTTGAGATGGATTAATGATTGTGCATTGAGCGTTGACTCCCCTATACAGAATTTTATTGTTGTTAACAACCATTTGATCAATAAATATGAGAGATGCCCTCTCAAAAAAAAATGACCTTCAATGTGTATGAAACAGAGAATACTTGTATTGTTGAGAAATAATGTGTGAGATAATAATAATTATATGAGAAATAATAAAGCACTCAGATGGGCTGAAATGGAAGACGCCCTGGAATACTAATGCCAGTATCTCCTACCTCCAGAGAAGTGTAACTCAGAGCAGCACCTGTGGTCATGTGTCTGCTGTACTGTTTGAATTGTTGGAGCCCATCTGTTACTGCCAGCTGCAGAGAAGTGCTTTGTGGTCTGAAACAACCTTCTCTCTGCAACATGCGAAGCTCTGAGATGCAGGCCTGCAGTCTAGCAAAGTTCCCTTTCACTTGCTGCAGAGAAAAATGAATCAAAGATGTACATCCTTAGTGACAACAGGTTTCAGACTGTCAGTCGAACTTGATTAATTACTCCCAAGAAAGTCCCTTCCCTTTCTGAAATCTGTTTGTCACCAACATCTACTGAATACCTATTATGTTCTAGGTTTTGTACAAAAAAATCTTTCTTACACCAGAGAAAGGAAAAATTGCAGCCAAAGGGCTTTGATTATGTGGAGTTACCAGAAACAAGAAAGGAAATGTTTTAACCCATTCACTCATCTGAAGAAAGGTCCAATTGTGACTGCTTAGTTTTACTTTGGGGGTGGTCTGCAAATTGGAGATCTAGCAGGGTCATTCTTAAACACTGTCTTTTATTTCTCAGTTAGTCTAGGCACTGGGAGCTTCCTTGTTTCCCAGAAATGAGGATTTTGATGTGGCTGATCATTTCAGAGCTGATCTGCTCCTCACGATCACTTCAGTAAAGATGAGACGCCTGGTTTGGTCTGCAGTCAGCTCAAGGAGCTAACATACAAATCTTCTGGTTCTTCTCACCTTTATAAAACTTGCTATCAGGAAATTATCTACTATAATCTGATTTTAGACCAATGTTACATCTCCTAAGGATATATGCATTTTGAATACATGAAGAATGAAAATTTGTGACACTATTTGAAGGAATTCCAAGAGTCAATAGCAGGTGGATGGTGGGTGGGGAGGTATTATATTTGGGATAAGGAAACATTTCTGATCAAATAGCAGAACTAAACAATATTTGCAAAATGCACATAAACTTTATGAGCATGAGCTACTGCCAGGGTACAAAGGCTGCCTAAGTCAACCCTTGCCCCACTCAGTTTCACAGCTTCTTACTTTGCTTACAAACTCATTTCCTTGAGTGGAAACCCCACAAGAAATGGGACATAATTCTTACACAAAGAGAACTTGCAATTTAGGTAGGAAGATAAGGAACCTACTCAAGAAAAAAATGAGAACAAATGGGACCATTGGTATAGACGAGTTGCCTTCAAGCATTTCTTTTTATATACCCTCTAAAAAAAATCTGAAGAATTACATACTCTTTTATACATTTTAAGTTGACACAGATTTTTAAACTCTAAGTAGTTGCTAAGGATGTTAACTTCCAGCATATTTTACATAACAATATGTAAAAATAAAACTATTAACATCAGTCTTCTAAACATAATCCAATAGAAACTAAATACCACAGTTTGATACTCATCACTATTCAGTTTAAAAAGTATATGAGCAAGTTCTTTTTTCTTCTTAATAGATGGAAATTTATATTATTATTTTTTCTCCTTGAACTCATATTTCCATTTCACTTTTCCCACAGAGTTTATCATAATGTAATAGAATTTTTTCATTGGAAATCTTTTATTGGTTGTCTTATCATATTTCTCTGCATCAAAAATATTTACATATTGTAAGATTTTTAAATTTCCTCTGGCCATAGACTCTAAGGGGTAATCTAGATTGAGTTATTATTAGAATTATTGTTCATATATGATTGATCAAAACAACATATATTATCAATTTTGATATGTAATTATTGGCATTAAGCATGAACTTTAATTGGAAATGCATCTCTTAATGGCATGGACATGTTGGGCTCTCTTTCAATTAGTTCAAGTATGTGTGAATAAATTACTGCTCAAGTGATACAACATTCAGTACCAATTCTATTCCTATTTTCTATTGCTACTGTGCTAAGAAATCTTGTTCTCATAATATGAGATGTCAACCAAATTGTCAAATTCCTTCTGAGTTATACACCAAAAATCACATAGAGATCTACCAATAAAAATTATTTTAATAATCTATCAAACTGCTATTCAATTTGGTCTTCTTTCAGTTTTGTTAAAAATGTGAATCACCTGGTTGCAAAGGATTTTTAATCTAATTATGAGTCTTATTTTCTTATTTTCATACCAACATTTTGAATTATTCTTTTGGCACCCCTGGAAATTTTAAAACCACAAGGCAATTAACCACAGTAAGATTCATAATAGGTGAAAGATATGTACCTCTCATATCTTCCTTTTTATTTTGGATTTTCTTTGTGAAGTGGAAGAAGGGTAACTGTGAAAGTGATGGTAGGAATGGAGGAGCAGATGCCATCACCCTAGGCATAGTTAGTCAAAGAAGTTTTAGGAAAGAATATTAATGGAAACCAGATTCTACATATAATTCTTTATAATTATCTATTCCTGTATGCTCTGGGAAGTCTTCTTGTAGTCCAAGTGGTATGTGTACTCTGGTTTGAAGAGAATGTCACAGATTATAGATACTTTACAAATTTATAAAAGTAAGTGTTGTTGAAAAGGAGGTAATGGAAAAGAAAAATGAATATAGTTGAGGACAAAAACTGGGTAAATACTTGCAACATACATCAGCATGACATTAATATCCTTACTATGTAAGAAGTAACTACAAATAAATAAACTACTGGATATCTGAAACATACTCTTCTACCATCTAACAATATACCTAACAGATAAAGAACAAATATATTTTAAATGCATAGTTGAATTAATAAGAAATTAAAGGAAATACCCAGGTACCACAGTGGGGACAAGAGGCAATGGAAAACCACAGTGTTAAGTAAGTATAAACACTGTCGCTTCATTTGGCTTCATTTGAGGATCTTGGGAACCCAGGATCTTGTGTTTCAAGGGAGCAGAAAACAGGGCCTTAGGGCCACACAAGGAGAAGAGTTGGAACTGCCACCCTGGCTCAAAGTTAAAACTGTACAAAGGTTATTCTTTCAGTGAAAATATGGGCTAGAAAGAATCCACTGGTAAAGGGAGATGACAATTAAAACTTGTTGACTGATGTGAGCTCTGAGTAGAAAAGAATAAGAAATTATCCTGAAAACTAGAAACCACATGCCTTCTTTCATGTGGGTTGGGGATTTGGCTTTATCTGCAGGGTCCAGGAAACCTTAAGTTTAAAATATAACCTAAAGTGGTCCTGGGTTGATAGTACCTCAGGGCACTTGACTCAAGCAAACACATATACTCTCTAGAAGTATGCACCCTAAATTAAGGCCTCAGAGAATTCTTACATTAACATCAGCTAAATCTAAACTCAGAAGCAAAATTACAAAATCAGTGAGAAAATAAATGAGTAAAAAAAAAAAGAAAAAAAAAAGAATAAGAGCAGAAACAACAAACAGTAGGATAAGACCAACCATTTCAGATATTGGAATTACAAGTACATTAAAGCACTTTTAGGATGTTTTTGAAGAGAAAAAGGGAATCAAAATCATGAACAAAGAATTTATGTACCTCTCATATCTTCCTTTTTATTTTGGATTTTCTTTGTGAAGTGGAAGAAGGGTAACTGTGAAAGTGATGGTAGGAATGGAGGAGCAGATGCCATCACCCTAGGCATAGTTAGTCAAAGAAGTTTTAGGAAAGAATATTAATGGAAACCAGATTCTACATATAATTCTTTATAATTATCTATTCCTGTATGCTCTGGGAAGTCTTCTTGTAGTCCAAGGGGTATGTGTACTCTGGTTTGAAGAGAATGTCACAGATTATAGATACTTTACAAATTTATAAAAGTAAGTGTTGTTGAAAAGGAGGTAATGGAAAAGAAAAATGAATATAGTTGAGGACAAAAACTGGGTAAATACTTGCAACATACATCAGCATGACATTAATATCCTTACTATGTAAGAAGTAACTACAAATAAATAAACTACTGGATATCTGAAACATACTCTTCTACCATCTAACAATATACCTAACAGATAAAGAACAAATATATTTTAAATGCATAGTTGAATTAATAAGAAATTAAAGGAAATACCCAGGTACCACAGTGGGGACAAGAGGCAATGGAAAACCACAGTGTTAAGTAAGTATAAACACTGTCGCTTCATTTGGCTTCATTTGAGGATCTTGGGAACCCAGGATCTTGTGTTTCAAGGGAGCAGAAAACAGGGCTTTAGGGCCACACAAGGAGAAGAGTTGGAACTGCCACCCTGGCTCAAAGTTAAAACTGTACAAAGGTTATTCTTTCAGTGAAAATATGGGCTAGAAAGAATCCACTGGTAAAGGGAGATGACAATTAAAACTTGTTGACTGATGTGAGCTCTGAGTAGAAAAGAATAAGAAATTATCCTGAAAACTAGAAACCACATGCCTTCTTTCATGTGGGTTGGGGATTTGGCTTTATCTGCAGGGTCCAGGAAACCTTAAGTTTAAAATATAACCTAAAGTGGTCCTGGGTTGATAGTACCTCAGGGCACTTGACTCAAGCAAACACATATACTCTCTAGAAGTATGCACCCTAAATTAAGGCCTCAGAGAATTCTTACATTAACATCAGCTAAATCTAAACTCAGAATCAAAATTACAAAATCAGTGAGAAAATAAATGAGTAAAAAAAAAAAGAAAAAAAAAAGAATAAGAGCAGAAACAACAAACAGTAGGATAAGACCAACCATTTCAGATATTGGAATTACAAGTACATTAAAGCACTTTTAGGATGTTTTTGAAGAGAAAAAGGGAATCAAAATCATGAACAAAGAATAAAAAAATCTGATAGGATCAGGCAGACATAAAAAAAATAGGATTTCTAGAAATCAAATTATAATAATTGAAATAAAAAACTCAATGAATGAATAATGGACAGATCGAACACTTCTGAAGAGAGACTTGTTGAATTGGAAGATAAAGCTAAAAAAAATACGAAGGAATACAACACAGAGAAGACAACAAAATGGAAAATATGAAAACCATGTTAAGAGAAACATGGAAGAAAAAGTGAGAAGATCTAATGTTCATCTGATTAGAGTTTCAAAGGGATTGAATATATAACCTAAATATAGAGATAATGGGGAAGAGCAATATTCAAAGAGATAATGGATGGGAAATTTCTAGAATCAACAGAAGGGCATGAACCCTCAGATTCATAAAGCACAACAAATACCAAACAGGAGAAATAAAAATAAATTCAAATAGCAGCAGACTCACAGACTC